ATCCCAAAAGTACATCGATGAACCTGATCCCAAAAGTACATAGATGAATCCCCTTCAACACCAAAAGTGCGTCGATGAACCCCCCCTCAAAACCACAAATACTTTGATGAACTCCCCTCAACCAAATGAAGTCCGCTCTAAACCATTGATGAATGAATTTTTGGTTTAAGTTTATTATAACGCTTTAAGTATTTAGTATTTGTAGAATCTCTAGCCTAGCAGCTAGGGACCACTGGCTGATACTGGCTGGCTCTTCCCTTTCTCGGTGCGTGGAGCCAGGCCGAAGGATGAAGCCTTGAAGAGCCATGTCATGGCCTCAGTGGCAGCGGGGAAGCAGTGGGCAACCATTTGGCTTCCCAGCCAAAGAAAAACAAGGATTCAATTTCAAACCAAAGGATCCCCAACCCTTTGGCTTCCCAGCCATTTGGCTTCCCAGCCAGTTGGCTTCCCAGCCGGTTGGCTTCCCAGCCGAGATTTTGTAGCGGTTTGTGAAAGTCGGGCACTGCACTTTTGTGAAAGCCGTCAGTGGTGTGTGAGTCCTGGAGTTCGTCACAACTTGCCACTGGCCCAATTGTCCATTGTGAATTCATTCATTTTTCAAAGAGGGAGCAACATTTGCTAGCAAAATCAATCAACATCTTGTTTTAAAAAGATCATTGGAAACAGGTGGCTCAATGCCGGACTCCAGAGAAAGTTGCCTTCAAGGGCATTGCCGGGGCAATCGACTGCAATATTGTCTTGTGAAGCCTAAACTCAGGTGCACCAATAGTTGGTTCCCCTGGAGATTGATGCCAGGGAAGTCGGGGCAAAACCGCATCAGTCCAGAATCGGTTTGCAGCCAAATCCTGCCAATGGCTGGGAGATACACCATCATGTTGAAGTTCGTTTACATGAACACTGACTGTTTGTCGTCCCCCCCAATGTGATGATGTCAATTAATTATGAATGTGCATATCGACTTCAAAGTACCAAGCCCAACCATCATCGCTCGCTCCTTAAGGTATTGGACGGCCTTGGCGTATGGCTGGCCATAGGAGTCCGCAATCCCAGCTGCGAGTTGCAGGCATTGCTTCTTGAAGGCGTTGTTATGATTGTTCTCATGCCTTATCCGGCGGTCAATGGGGTTTCAGGGGCTCCACGAGGCAACTTTCCAAAGATTGAGACACCCATCAACCAACTGCATGATCCAAGAAACAGCTGGTTGCAGGAACACATCAATGTTCATTTATGTCTACCACAAACTTCATAAATATAAAGTACTAAGTATTTGTCTATCACATGTTAATACATGTCTATATGTTGCTCGAGGTCAGGTCCAGGTTGCTTGGAAGCAGCGTTCAAGTCGCCCTTGTCTGCCCGGCCCAATGGAAGAACCAGCAAAGGGGCTTGTGATAGTTCCCCATCACTGATGTACCGTTTCACCAAGCACACAACGTCCCCTGGGTCAGCTGCCCCCCCCGAAAGCTTCCAACGTTCACATTGTTGGCCAATGCTTCAGGCAGGTCTCAGGGGGCAAGCAGTGAGCAGTGTTCGGGAAACTAAAGGGCTGGGAAGCCTCAGACGACTTGGCTGGGAAGCCACGATAAGAATAATATTTGTTTTGTTTTTTTACATATGGTCCACCGTTTTTTACATATGGTCCACTGTTTAGCATTGTGTGAAACTTTGAGCCTTTCCGTTGAAACATCATGAAGGAGTGGTTGGCAGATGCGTCATCCAAAAGCCCGCCACTCAAAGAGATCCCATGCCGCTCCCACTGAGACTTCCAGTCCCTCACGCTGTCCAACTTCTGCACATGAATCTCGCAAGAACTGCCCAGGAAGGACCGCAAACCGGGTCTTTGAAGCTCGGACTGTATGCAGTGCATGGTATCCGTAGGATCAAGCAAACAATCAGTATTTGCTTTTCGGCGCGCAAGAATGCCCCAAACTTGGTCAATGCGATCGTGGGTATGGCTTTTGCGAAGAAACATTATCATACAGATCCTCATCTTCCGCAAAGCACATAGGCGTGAAGCATAGCCCAAATTGATTTGATTCTTGAGTTCTCGCACGGTGTTATCACCGAGAATCACCAACTTAGAAGGCACCCGTCGTCCCAAACGGTGACAGATCTCTGAAACACGTTCAATGCCACGAGCAATGCATTCGGTGATGCAAGACGCGTCATGACGCGTAGGCTCATCCATCACGAATAGTTCCAAGGAATAGCCAAAGAGCCACACTCCGTGGACTTTGAGTCTTGGTCGCACGAACTTAGCCAGGCTGGCAGTAGATTTCAGCTTCGGGTCCCTCGGAAGACGGAATTTCCCTTGATCCATTCCGTCCACCTGAACCACCAAGAGGTCCCCAAGTGGGTCTGAACCAAGCTCTTGAAGCGCCCACGTGATTGCCCGGTCAGAGTACTGGGAGGCAAGGTGACTCCGATATTTCACAAGTTCTCCAAGCTTGATCTCCATACTTCTTGCTTTTGCAATGCCCTCCTTGAACTGGAAGCACAGTTCACATTCCGTAAACCTCACAGTCACATTATGCTAGCTGGGGTAACGAGCACAGCTGAAGTCAAAGGCTAATCGCCCTGACAATGAAAACAAAACGACGTGACAATGCCAGCCAAAGTACAGAGTTCGTTGCCGGAATTTCAGAATGTCACTCCACCGGCTTTGAAAGACTCGAAGAAATGTGGAGTACCTTGAAGGCTTTCACTTTTTCACTAGGCTTTGGGGATCTTAGGCTACCACGTCCCACCAAGTCAAAATTGGTTTTCAAAGCTCCAAAGTGTTTTGTATGCGAACTAGATACGAAACTGCTACAGAGCCAAAGAGTTGCCTGGTGGCCTGATAGTGAGTATACAAATCCATGACAGTTCCTGGAGCCAAATACTTTGTGATTTTCTTCTCCCCGGTTGACATGGTGTCCCAAAGTACTCCTTTGCCTGGACGGTCCAGCCATTCACGGATTTCATCCGTGACTTCATTCGAGTCGTTTTCCACATCAAACTCAGGGTCCTCACCCTTGGCAGCTCTGCCACGTCGGACGAACCTTCAGGCCATCAGCTTTCTTGACACTCTATCGAATTTTGAGACAGTAGTAATCAAACCCTGAGTCAGACCCTTGCTATTTGTTGCGGGGTATCAGTGACTCCGTCTCCCATACCCCATATCATGATGAGCCCCCACCTGTCCGGTAATGTCTCTGCCAAGCCCTCATAAAGAACGCTGAGAAAAGCATCAACAGAAGCTGTATCACGGTGGCTTCCAGACTTCTGCAAACCAACTCTCCCATCTGGTATCAAATTCAGTCCTTTGCGCAGCCTGTTGATACCAATTCCGAGCACAAGCATTCGCGGCCAATCTCCTTCCCCACAAAGGTAAAGTAGAACCGTTGGCGCTGCCCACTGCCACCCAGAGATTCGCCAAGAGTAGTATGCAACTAGGTTTGATGGGGTGTTGACACGCATACAAAAGATTACAGCATGGCATGGAGTGGAGTATTGTATTACGCACTGCAAGGTTTTTAACTCGCAGTTGAGCTTCAAAGGAATCCTGGTCGGCTTTGTCAAGGTTCCAGAAGGAATGCAAAAAGTCAAGGGAAGCTTTTGAATCACAGGTGCGAAAGCACTCCTTCAACGCACCTTAGGCCCAAGAGATGAGGAGACTGGTTCATACTTGGTTCTGGTGTAGAATTTCCTTCACCCCCCACTATGAGCCCAGTGAAGACAGGACCATGTTCATTCATGCCTAAGCACACTTGCATTGAGGCTTGGCCTTGAGCTCCTTCAGCCTCGTTGGATTCAAGGCCGTCTCCTTAAAAGATGTTCTCGTTGATGCACTCGCAGATTGAGCCCGTTTGGAGTTGTCATACGGTCTCTTTTTTGGCGGTTCCTTGCTTAGCTCTGACGCCTTCTTCAAGAAACAAGCTTTCTCAAACATGCGCATAGCACTCCAATCAAGATTGAGTGTAGTAGTCTGATCCGTGGGTGCATCATCCACATCCGATTCACCCTGACCACTACACTCTTCTCCCTCATCACCAAACAATACTGATGGTGTAGCTTTGGATTTTGTGCCCGGCAACGATTTAGAAGACCGGCTTCCACCTAAAGCCTCCCCCTCCTCTGGCTCTTCTCCAAAAAGAGAGGGTCCTTCAAGTGTGGTTCTAGGTCGCTTTACCGACGGCCTGCTGCCACTCGCGCTCACTGGCCGTGAAGGCTGGCTGGGCTTGGGTTTCTCACCCCCTTCAGATTGAAAGGGCCGCATGCCACTCCCAGAAGCCCAACACCGAATGCACCAATAGCCATCATGATCATCATGGTTGCATGCATGTGTGTTTCTGTGTGGAAAATAAACTGACTACTGGTTGGTTGCGAAGAATGCCTGCTTCTTGGTAGAACGTATACAGTTGGAAGAACCACGCACAATCACAAACGGTTCAACGCAAATGACATGCACATTAAATTGCTGTGACAATAAACCGGAATGTATCATTGAGTTGATAGAATGCAACCACAATTTGCATAAACAAGACTTTCATCACTTGAAGGAAAATAGTTCCGGTTGAAAAGTAGCAAAATCATTTGAGAAGTGTCCCATGCTTGGTTCATGGTTTCAACTCAGTGTTACGTTGTGTGTTTCAGCGAGGTGTGACTCTGTGACCCGACTTATTACTGTACAAACAACTTCGGACCCATTACAAACAATTCATTGCAAATTGCTGAACGGCCAGATTTTCTCCATAGTCCCCCTGTTTCTGGTTGCACACTTTAACCCACAGTGGGGCTCAAGCACAGCATGGCAATTAAACAAGTAAAGGCGGCCGATGGCAAGTGCATGCCATTCCCTGCCATTTTTCGAATGGCAGCTTCCGAAGCACCTTGAAGATTCCTCACATCCTCAGATTCAGGTGCTGGTAGTACACGCGCAAGTCAATATAACATGGCGTGCACAAACACAGGCACACGCAAAGGCAGAGTTTATTTGTGAGAGCCTAATACTAGAAAGCTTTTGAATGAGAGAGAAACTGTGGCCCCCCATTCCACCATGAACCTACCTGCAGGCTTCCCAGCCAACGTGAGACTAATGGCTTCCCAGCCAGATGAACGAGGCATTATTTCCAATCTAAGTGGTTCTAGACGTTCTAGACTAGAATGTCAGCCAAGCTGCAGCACCTAAATCGGTTGCACTTCTCGAGTGCACAGGGTAGCCAAGAGTGGACAACATCTCCTTGGCCAACATGAGCCTTTTCTTCTTCCGACTCCTGATTTTGTTGGGATGGGCAGGCGATGAATGGAAATGCGTGAAAATGTTGTAGCTGTGTAGTCGCACCAACCAAGAGCTTTCCAAACAAATAAAGTTAAGCCCAAGTCTCCAAATCTTGGTGTTTGTTGTCAATGTCATGAGTGCCCCATCTACAGTCTCCGTGCGACACACGTATTCTGGGTTGGAAGCAAGATCGTAGTAGGTCTTGTTGGGGCGTGTCTCGGTGTAGGACGCCAGGAATTTGGTGGCAGAAGCACATAAACTACTTTCATCATGGCAAGTGTTGTCGGTAAGCTTGCCCCAGAAAAAAATACATGGTGAGCTGGTCAAAGGAGCATTTGGTGAACACAAGAGCATCCTGGTCAGTTCTTCAAATGAGTATGCACAGTTCCATCGCAGCTTGCTGGGATCATACAAAATCCTCCAAGAGCGGTCCCTGCTCGTAGGCTCACCAAAACATCGTGGAGAAAGCCTTGGGAAGGCAGGCGTCTCAGCGATATAACCACGGGCTTTGGGTATTCAAAGGTGAGATTCACAGGCGATATGGACATGACTAATAGGTTGACAAGTAGCGTTGCTTTCTGAATTACGAAACCAGTCTCCCTTGACAAATAGTCGTCCTGGTAGTGGCGCGTGCCACATGCTAGGTGGAAGCCATGATTGAATAGGTGCACTAAAAAGCCAACGTGAAAGACACTTCTCCTCAGCAAACTCAGTCACATTCTCATGGATGCACAGTTTGGTGTTAGTCATGGCTCGGGTGCCAACATCGTGGAGCTTCTTGGTGCCAACATTGGAGAAGCCATCCCCCTTTCCAATCCTGACACCAAACTCAATCATTCCCATGTAAACCATTGGTATAGTAATAGTTAATTTGGGTCTCCATGAAGGAAGCTTCAATTGCAAACTACCCAATCAAATGGATGACTTTGCGGAGGCAAAGACGCTTGCTGTGCGAGATGCATGGGGCCCCAAGGGTCAAGACGGAATTGTCTTCCCAGCTCAATGGACACCTTAGGAGGGGATGCTCCAAGGGTAGGAAGTGCGGAAGACAGATAGTGGGTTTGAGACTTAAAAGCAGGAACCTATAGCAATAAGTAAGAACAACCAAGTAACTGCCCTTTGTGGGTGCAGCATTGAAATTCATCAGCCAGCTGCAGCTTGTGTGCTTGCCATGTCTTCCCTCGGGGCATGGTTTTCAACAGGTTGAAAACATCCCCTGTCAAACACGTTGTCGGGTAGTGGTCAACCAAGAGCTTCTTGCACACGTTGCTCTTTTCTACCTCGGACAAGAAAGGGATTTGGTGGAAGTTAGAAACACAGTAAAGTAGTAACTATACTAAAATTATCATAAGTTATCAGTTATGAGGTATACGTTGTAAGCAACGTGCACTGGACTGGAATTTAATTGTTGGGAGATGCCATCAACTTGTAGTTGACCCCCAGCCGAAAACCAAACTTCTCAGCCACGGCGGTGTCCATGACAGCCAAAGCCTCCCGCATGCACTCAATGCCGGAGAAGAGGGAGGTGATGGCCCAGTTCACCCGTCCTTGAATTGCACGACGCGTATATGAGGTGTGACTCACGGCTTCATGTTGGCGTGATCTCAAGAAAGGGTGGAAACAATTAAGGAATTAAGGCAAAGTTCCCAGCTGTAACCTTACAGCCCTCTTTCCCCAAAGCATCTCACATCGCTCAAGCAGCACACTCGGCCATTGATTGATCTCGCTGAGGTTTCGTGGAAT